CGCAGTAATATATAAACATAAACTTTATTTTTTACCAACAATGTTAGATCACTCATCTGGTTAGTAATTTTTTTATCATGTTATAACTTTAATCATATTCCTATATCAACCTATACATAAGGCCTTTCATTATATTACACAGCCGGAAGTTATAGTTACCATAAGTATTAGATTCGTAAAGGCTAGTGGCTGTATTTATCTCTAGCACGATTTGAGAACTAATGTAATATTCATGTTTTAACAAACTCCTTACAGTCTTAGTGGCTGTATTTATCTCTAGCACGATTTGAGAACTAATGTAATATTTATGTTTTAACAAACTCCTTACAGTCTTAGTGGCTGTATTTATCTCTAGCACGATTTGAGAACTAATGTAATATTTATGTTTTAACAAACTCCTTACAGTCTTAGTGACTGTATTTATCTCTAGCACGATTTGAGAACTAATGTAATATTCATGTTTTAACAAACTCCTTACAGTCTTAGTGGCTGTATTTATCTCTAGCACGATTTGAGAACTAATGTAATATTTATGTTTTAACAGACTCCTTACAGTCTTAGTGGCTGTATTTATCTCTAGCACGATTTGAGAACTAATGTAATATTTATGTTTTAACAAACTCCTTACAGTCTTAGTGGCTGTATTTATCTCTAGCACGATTTGAGAACTAATGTAATATTCATGTTTTAACAAACTCCTTACAGTCTAGGGATAAAAAAAATCTTAAAAGTCAAATCAATATTTATCATTAACTTCTGATAAAAACGAGTTACCTACGTGTATCATAACTAAAACTTAGCACAGTAATTAATATAGGTAATTTGATATTCCCTTATAGTTAAGCGTATATAAGGTCATAAAACAAAAACTCATAATAATCAGAATGCATTGATTCGTTAGTTAGACACCCTCAGTATTAACGCTATTTTTGGCCGTAATCCCAATAACATTTTAACGAGGTTTAGCCAAATTAAGAGATTTAGGTTAATCCTAAATCCATACAATAAGCTAACGTGCAAAATAATCCTCTTTGGTCCTATCTCATTACAAGTGCAATTTTAAATAGTAGTATACTTCAACATGTATTTTATATCCATCTGTATGTAGTTTTTAAGAATTTGTAGGTAAAGCTAATGTGAATTTACACACGTTTTTAGTTTTATTCAACAATTTATGATAAAGGACTAGAGATCTAATTAAATCGATAAAATAAAAAAGTTTCAAGGTTTATTCCTCTGTCACACACACACACAATGGGCTATCTGTGCTCTGCCCACTACGGTTATTAAAATCAGTTTTACAGAGTCATAAGCCCTCAGAGGTTATAGCCATGAGGGGGTGGGCACATTTTAATGGACTATGTACATTTTGGGTTTTATGTTATATATTATAAAAAGAACAAAATGTAAGTGTTAAACATTTTAACGCATGCTGTTAAGAAAACTAACAGTAAAGAAAAAATATATAACTTTTATTTTATTACAAGCTACAGCTTTTACAGTGAGGAAGAATATTTCTAAAATATTTTTAGTAAGTAAACTCAAAACGAAACTATAATATAACTTTACTTATAAAACACGTACAAAAAATTAGGATAACTTCTAAAAATGTGCTATGTCAGAGACAAAGATCACTAGAAAGAACCCTTTATTACAAACTTATTGTATGTTATTATACTTCTATATGTAAATCATTGAAAGAGCGCTTAGTTAGAGCCTGCTGATGCAAACAAGAAAATCGCATTGTGTTCAGGGATAGCCTCAAAATCTACGAGAGAATAATTCTGAATTTGTTCCTGTCATTTTTAATTTTCATGGCTTCATGTTAAATTAGTAACTGCTTAACATTTTGTTAAGTTAAATTCGGAGCAAGTGGGTTGGGGAAAGAAGATTCAAAAACAAAACAGAAAACACACAAATATTTAAATATTTTTTACGATTTGAAATCACGCATTCAGTGAAGCTTTTGTTTTGTTTCAAACAAACTAATTATTCTTGCTGTAAAAATCGTGTATTTACTGGAAATTGATACTATTTTAATGTAATGTACCAATCGCTTAGTAGATGGCGCTTCATATAATTTCAGATAGAATACTCTGGATCGAACATTTTTTCTTTCGATGAGTACTAATAGAAAGCAGAGAAGTGGGAAATGGTTTACTCATGGTGTGAATGATTAATTGAGTTTTTAGGCCTAATTGTTTCATGAGTATTCTCAATCACTGGCTTTATACTTAAAGCTTCTCATAAAAGATAAATTGTTTAAAATATTGTCGTGTTTTGTTTTCCTCGTCTCTGGTTCTACCATCTGATTTATTTGTTTCATTCCCTACCATAATACTCTTTGTTTATTTCGTGAGAGAGGTGCAGAAGGCTGTCAGAACAAACTTGACGGCTCCAACGGTCAAGATTTAACTTGCAAGAAGTATAACAGAACAGCTGCAGTTATTTATAAAACTAATTTACAGTTGAGCTTCAGTCATTACAGTTGATGCTATAATAGTAAAAATTGGGAGCAAATGGAAATGAAAGATCTCTTCTTGTTAGTTCACAATAGTTGGGCATGCTCCTTTATAACCATCGTTGGTCTGTATTCATGCTATTGCAACCTTTTTCGTTTCTGCCGGATTTTGTTTGACTCTCTTTGAAAAGGATGTGCATCTACCGGCAGAATTTGACACATTATCAGGAGAAGAGATCTGTGACTATCGGCAAATCTTGCCAGAGACCCTTGAGGTGAGATTTACGTCAGCCGGCAGAATCTGGCAGAAAACCGAAAGAAAAGACCTACGTCTACCGGCAGAGTTTGGGAGATACCCGCAAGGAGAAATATGTGACTACCAGTAAAGCTTGCCAGAGACCGTGAGAAGAGGTCTGCGTTTATTAGTAGAGACTGAAAGAGACCCGTGAGAAGATAGCTGTATACTCTACTAATATATGCAGATCTCTTCTCACGGGTCTCTTTCAGTCTCTACTAATAGACGCAGATCTCTTCTCATGGGTCTCTTTCAGTCTCTACTAATATATGCAGCTATCTTCTCACGGGTCTCTTTCAGTCTCTACTAATATATGCAGATCTCTTCTCATGGGTCTCTTTCAGTCTCTACTAATACTTGACAAAGTATTATATAAATATCGATTCATTGTGGTTAATAAGAGACTAAAATACCATATCTAC